TTCTAATTTCGTCTGTTGTCGTATGCGGCAACATTTCTCTTTTTATTACTACAAAGGCGTTTTTTATTCGTTGTTGTAGTTCTTCTATTGTTTGAATCCGTTACGTACACCAGTTCTTTAGAATTAGGTCTGGGGAACGTGCAGGCCACTGTATAGGGCCATCTCTTCTAATCCACGAGTAGAAAACGCCTTTGTAGTAATAAAAAGAGAAATGTGTCTGCATACGACAACAGTCAAAATTAGAAGAAGATGTTGTGAGTGTATACGTTGCCGAGGCGGTCATTTTGAACAAAATTTGTAATAATTAATAAACGATCAAAATAATTATTTTCGTCTTTAATTTCAAGAAATCCACATTAAAAAACAATTTTTTTCAAATCGGACCAGTAGTTCCTGAGATTAGCGCGTAAACTACTACAATTTTTCATACGGTCATAACTTTTTAAAGTTAATCTCTATTTAATGGACTATAAGTAAATATATGTCTCATTAGTGGTGGACATTTGGACCACTTTTGGTCATTGTCCTTTAATACAAATCTCAAACTGATTCGTTATTTTTTATTTGCAAGCTGAATTGCTACGCCATCTGGTAAGTAATTGAAAAAGAAACGGTGTTCTTTTATCAAAATTCTTCTCTCGAACGTGTAGGTGAGATGGAATTGGGGTTGTCCCTCCCATAATATCGTATGCTCGCGATGCGAGACTTAATAATAAATTCCTTTGTGGAAAAGAAACAAAAATTAAAATTCTTTCCATGTTCCCCGGCGTCCCTCAACGCAGTTTTGTCATTTTGTTAGGACTCGCGTGACGTTGCGTAATGCGAATGTGGATACGAAGCAACTTATGTGAAATCTCGTGGCCAATTATTAATTCAATCTTGGAAAACTTTCATCAAGGTAATTTCATAAGTTAACTTTATGTTGTTTAGGTAGTAAACAAGGAGGAATTCATTATATTTGGAATAACACAAAGTTTCCACTATAATATCCTCGTGGCAAGTCACAACCGTTGGTTCGTTTACCAACTATTTGATTATGTAGATACAACATAATTCCTATCTTTTTGTTCAAAACCTGAAAGTCACGATTAATTATCCCTGAATGAGTAAAAACAATCATAATTTATAATTAAACATGAAATAAGTACTGAGCATTCCAGTAAATTGCTCAGATATCTTCGAATTTAACGTTCAGCCGAATACAAACATTGCAAATAATGCCAAAAATGTTCAACATAACTCACAAACATTATTATCCATTTTCCATCAAATATCTTACATGCCAACATTTCCAAAATTGATATTTAATGAAAACAAGAATGTTGCTGTTAAATTAACGCAGAGCAAAATCATATTTAAGAAGTGTAAGCCTACTTATATAATTCATTATTATATTTATNAAAAAAAAAAATGATTTTTACATGAGGTATACAAATAAGAGTAAATGGATTTATTTCAATAAATTGTCTATTTACATAATCAATTGCATTAAAAGGCGTTTATTTTTATATATTACTTACTAATTATGCTAATCAATGAAATGATCATTTACAGAATGTTTACAACTGTTTTGATTTTACCATTAATTTACAAAAATTTTACAATATTTTGTTTTATTTCATTATGTATACATTAGCTATAACAATTGTTTTCTATGCAAATACATTACTAATTATTTATTTTGTGTTTAAAATTCAATTAGAGTATGTATGATTGTACTTACTTTATGTGTCAGTTATGTACATATTTCATAGCGAAGGGACTCGCTATCAACAGGACGGCCGAGCTGTAAGCCTACTTATATAATTCATTATTATATTTATATATTTTACAACATATGTATAGATCTGATAATAATAGTTTTATTTAATATTGTAAGTTAACCTTGATTATTGAATGCAATTATGTAATGATATCGACTACTTCCGTTTCTTTAGGAAATACTTCATAGTTTTGTTTATACAATTTATTAACGTGCTGTAGGTAATTGATTATTATTATTAAATTATTTATTAAATTATTATTGTAAATAAATACAAATAAATCAAAGTTATGAAGTATTGTAATTAATAAAGACAATGTATTGATACCCGCGGTTGTCGATAGTTCTGTGCCATGGCGGCATTCTTGTTCGAGCTGTGAAACGAATTGTATTGCACAAGAAATATACGAAGTGATTGGTGAATAACTGTGTTTGAGTTTCCACGTCTTCCATTTCTGAGGCTGTCCCATAGCTTCAGANAAAAATATTACCTTTAATAGCAGACCACAATATTTTATGCAAATACCTAATTAGACTACTCATGAGGAGAAAAGAGAATGTTCACAAAATTTTTTTTACTATGATTAAATATTATTTTAATTAGAAACATCACTCTATGGACTAACAAATATCGTTTTACTGTACACAATGTTACTTATAGACTCAGAGCTCATTTCCACGGGAATCCAGTTTTGCAAGACCATTAATGCAGGATCCCGCAAAACAGGACTGTAGTGTGTTTGAAATTAGAATTACAAATTCGAACGGATCGATTTTTCGACACTGTAAACGGGATGTTCGTGTGAACGTTAACATAAAAACACGTCTGCAAAAACAGTTCCTGCAAATAACGGGATGTCCCGTGGGAACAAGACTTTAATGACGACTTTTATCAGACTGCGTCAGAAGGAGGGTTATGTTTTAGCAAACGTGCTGACTGTTCTCGCTGGCTTATGGTTGTAGTGGAGTGTCGGAGGGAGGTGAAAGGTCAAGATAGACTGGTGGCCTGCCTGATGAAACTAATTACTTCGTTAAATCGCGACGCGTACTCACACGCTATCGATGCATAAGCGATATGACTTTTCTAGATTGATGGCTAGATTTTTATGAGATTTTCAAGATATTAGCATTTTATAGACTCTAAATCTGGATAACTAAGTTGTATGACATTTTGATCATGCTGATGTGATTTTATGGTTGATGACATTTTAACTGGGAACTGGTAAATAAACAGGACTTAATTAATAAATGTACCAATGTAGAGTTAAGAATAGATAGTAGATATCAATCGTTGAATAAATTGTTAATTTCTATAAATGGAATTAGATTTATCATTTTGCAACAAAAATAATAATATTTTCAGTATTTTTTTACAAACTCAAAAGTATGACTCTTAATTTAAAAATTCATTAGAACTGCATTGCATTGTATTTCTAATCTTCAGTTCATTTCCGTCTATTTTTTATTTTAGTAGGTACATCATTTTTGATATTAAAGAATATGGCGGTTTTTTTCCTTTATTTATACCTATAAATTCTGCCTCTAATTAGGGTANAGAAGTCTGTAAATGCCTGCATCCAGCGCCTACCTGCTACCTTTATGAGATCATCGGTCCACCTTGTGCACCTTGTGGGTGAAAGTCGTACTGTCAAGTAGTGTAGTACGGAATCGTGTTTATTACAAAACATTTTCATAAATAAGACCCGCAACCAGTAAATAGGAAGTTTCTAGTCCGAGCTGGGAATCTAGAAACCAATTAAAGGTAACATTTTCAGCTCCACTCGGTCCACAATTTAGTACCGTACAGTCCACACTCCACACCGATATTATCAGAGATATTCTTATTGCGATCGTTATTTCGTTGCGGATTGCGGTAGCTTACAAAACAAATAAATGTCTCTATAAAATAGGAAATAGGTATTTTAACCAACACTTCAGTAAATAAAACAAAAATCCTGTAACAAGATTTCAGATAGGTATGTAATAATACATCAGACAAAAATTCTAAGAGCAATATTGTCAGACTTTAATCTGGCAATATAATAGGCAGGCAGGCAAAGACGCTGCATTCTTTCTTCTAAATAATGATGTACTGAATCAAACATTCTAGAGTTAGGTAGGTACAGTCGAGTTCATAAATATAATTATAAGAGTTTACCAATATTTCAAAATATAGCGCACAGTAGCGCAATCATGTTAATGAACAGTTTATACATTTTATTGATGTTTGAGTTTGTATAGAAATACATGATCGTTAAATCGCTAACAATAGTTTGAAACATTGGCACTGCCAATAAATTTGTGAACTCGACTGTACCTAGATACTTTTTTTGAGTGAGCCTGAAAAACCGAATTTACAATAACCATCGGGCTCCAGCGCTGCTTAGGAGCCAGATATTAACCGTGGCAAGCTCGTGTATTCAATTACACAGGGTCTGATTCCGTCATTAGGTGGGAGCTGGCACGCATTACGAGCGCTCGCTATTCGCAGTCGAGCGCTCGAGGGCTTTCATAATCCGTTGACCATCAAGGAACTTAATTTACCGTACTCCTTTCATATTTTGAGCAAACTGGTCAACAAAACTAACAGTTTCCTATTTGGTTTCATTTATATTAAACAAAAAGAACACTTGTTTCTCCAAAAATAATTCTAATATATTTTATTCTCTCTTTGACCCCGTAACGTAAAACCCTGCAAGAGTGCTTTTCGAAAATGCAACGCTCGGTAAATGTTATTGTTATTATTTTAGTATCATCGAAAAAAACACATCAAAAAGTTTAGTATCTATTCATCACACAAAACAATAACCGATTTATTGCTTCAATTTTAAAGGTTCCCTTAGTTTTACGATCGAGAAAGCTAATCTCCCTGAACTTCCACGAAGCAAAATCATAGATACGTCAGCATTTCCTCACGAGTGCTTATTTTCTCTGAAGTCCATAATAGATCCTTGCTGTGTTCACGTACGTGATAGCGCAAGATCTAACACGAAACAAATCATGTTTTATAGTAGACACTTCTCAAAAATAGGTCAAGTCGTGCCACGTCCAGTAAATGAGTACAGCACCTTACCCAGCTTAAAATTAAAAGAATTTTCAATGAAATAAAAAACCATATTAGAAAAATTGCAAAAATTTATTGGTTTCTAAAATTTCTAAAATATTATTGCCAAAAATAACAACATTTTACCAATAGTTCATAATAATCTATACATAATAATAAGTAAGGGCCATAAAATATGACTAATAGGTATGATTCATCAAAGATTTCGTTAAAAAATATATCAACGGGGAAACAACGCCCCAATGAATGAAAATGCCATATGAATAAATCAAACCCTGCAGAAATTATGCACGAGCAATATTTCGTACCTAACATAATATTTTTGCGTTCGCAACAATAAAAAACGTCAAACAATTGTCAGGAACCTATCAGGCAATATTTGATATTGCAGTCTCTATTCTCTTTTGTTCGCCTCATCCCATTGATGCCATACAATGTTTTTAGTTTTTTCAAATAACTCGCAACAAAATATTTAATCTACTCCGTGGGATTTTACATTGAATAATGTGTGTGAGGAAAGTAGAACGCCAGCTGTAAGTGCCAAAAATACAATTTTAAAGTAATGTGGATTATATGGAGCTTAAAAATGAAAAGAAACAAGAAAACTTAAATTGAAATTCTGACCAATCTCTACCTATTCATGCACAAAACTTCAATAGAAGTCGAAAGTAAAAAAAAAAACAGTACTCCCTTTCATGAGCTCTATCATGAAGGGACACGGCCTTATTCTTCAAAGAAGTAGTACCTGACGTGTTTGGTTGTAGGATCGAAGTACTCATCATGAGGTAAGTCCAGCGCTGACAAGGCAGCTCCGAAGTAGTGTCTGGTGAAGTGCAAGGCGTCACTGGGTTTCAGGAGAAGCAGGGCCTGGAGGTAGTCTCGGACTGTGCCCGTCAGTGCACCGCTCTCGGTCACGTAGCGAGCGCCGTCAGATGATCTGGTGCTCTGTTTCAAACCAGGACAATGTTATTGCGGAATACAATCATAGTAGAGTCGTTGGTACTAAAACCTGACATAATTACGGGATTAGCTGTGGCGCGTTCGCGGTTAGAGGCAATTTGTATTTGGAAAATAGATTTACAATCACGCATTATTTTTTACAATTCGAAAACCATGTGGTGAAACCATTCGAAAAGTTGCAGCGTGATTATTTTTCGTTAATTTACTGCCGTAACATGACATCTCTTCGTAGCTTATAAGAATCGATAAACTCATATAATCTACTCATTATAATAATATATCTATAGCTATAGATACAAGATGATTACATTCTGACTAATTGTCGCCCTGGTTATTCAATATTACTCTGCTCGCTAAGCCACTGGGATTATTCTACCATTTGTATTAGTTGGATAATAATTAATGCCCTATTCCAGCTTTCACCTGTCAAAGCTATGTTATACATATTGTATAAGATAGCTCAATAGCATTCAGGTCGTAATCTAGCTGTAATAATCAACCTAATAACGTTAGGAATTATGTATCTGCCTACCTAATTAAAAAAAATCCTACGATTGATTTGCCATTATTAAATCTGTATATTTTTGTAACTCTATAAATTACAAAATCCGAAAATGTATAGGTTCATCAGACCCATTTTCAAATACGAAGTTACTTGACGATCGATTTTATAATTTCAGACTCGTACAGGCGGATCCTGTCTATCTACTCCCAGTTCGTATTAGAGAAGGTCCTGTGGGACTCTGGGAGGGCTTTACCCCTAAATAAGACTGACGTCCAGGGGCGAAAAGGCCTGTCCCCGAACAAAAGTGACATGAAACAAATTAAAATACAAGTAGCTCATGGCAATATTAGAAAAGTTACCTTAAAGTCCAAATAGTCCGATAACAACTGAAGATCGTCCCGCCATTTTTCTCGCAGAGGCACATGAGGTTCTATCTCGTCTTTTTCAGGAACAATATTTAGTAGTGGATTTAGATGTAAAATGTAACTGTTGTCGGCCCATTCGTGACTCACAGTATAGCCTAAAGAGCAAAAACATTATTTATAGTAGGAGCCAAAAGGTGGATATAACATTGGGAACTTTATGACGCACTAAAATAGAGTAACTTTGCAAGATATGATAGTTAAATATACGATACGACACAGTTTATGACATAGATTCGACGTCTTGCGCCTATTTATACCTAAAAAAATCTAATTCATGGAAAGCTCAGTCAACGGAAATATATCTCGGACACTGTCAAAATTTTAAATTTCTTTTATCCTTCTCTACAATAATAAAATACATTATGTATTCTTCAGTACCTCGTAGAGTAAGGACCGTTAATGTTTGGTGCAGTACTCCTGATGGTTCTATAATATGGCGCTCGACTTTGCAAACAAACAGTGGTTTCCCATTTACTATCGCTTGGCTGACTCCGTGGCAGACCTGAAATTTTAAACAGTTACTTGAAAGTTTCATCTCGCGGTTTAACTAACAAAAAGGGTAAGTAAACAGGTTGCCACTCCTGCATTTGTTTTAGTTGGCCGCTTAAAATAAGTACTTATTATGTCGGTTAGTTGATTTTATTCATAAGCTCTACATACAATAGAAACTACCAAACGACCGAAAGAAGTTCTTCATGAACGCTATAGAATATTATTAAGTCGATTTCTGAACGTTTGAATTGTGAAAAAAGTACACCTTCATTATGGCCACCACTAAATCCATAAAAATTTTGCACTGCTGAATAATGGACCATGTAACCGACTGACTTCATAAAACTCTACTTACATAAATACTCTCACAAATGGTGCCGTCCATCAAGACCGTTTCAGTTTTAATATTGCCCCTATACCGGCGAAGACCGAAATATCTCAGTAGAACCAGATTGGCGCCTTCGAGTAGGAAGTATCGGGCATCCTCGAAGGAATGATAAAACCTCTTGACGACATCACGGTCTCCGCAGACGCGGGTCACCTTGTTATAATAACCGCTTTCGCAGATAGTCATATAACTTCGACGTTCTTTAGTTATATTCTTTTTAGTAATGTGCCTGGAAATGTAAAGTGACGTCAGTCATCATAAAGGTTCCAGCCCCCCTAGACAGATGGTAAAACGTGACTTTTACTTTAGCTCCGGCGTTTTTTTACATTGCTCCGCGAACGGATACGATTTTAAATTCGATCAAAAAGTGCCACTTGTCTAGACCTATGGTATCGATCTATGATCTAACAAACTATATTATTCTAGATCTTAATGTTACTTTCGTAATAGAAAGCAACAGTAATCTGAATATCTTACTCAGTTCTATTCTCCTCCATCGTATGTAGTTGGCAATCCAATATGCTTACTAGCTTCGAGCCGGTCTTAGCTCCTTCTTTTGACGAATGCGACACAACTTGAACGAGAAACTTATCCTTGTCTTCGCCGAGGGTTTCGACACAAATGCTTATACCTGCCATTAACGAAGTTTATTTGAAAAATAATATTAGGTTCAAAAATGTCTACTATTTGAAAAGCTTAAACTTACCTCCTAGGGCACTACAGCAATCAATTGAAGGTTTGCGAACTTTCTTTTTATAGGGTGGTGCCTTGACACCATGAACAGCACATACTTCCTCCTCTTCTTTTTCGTCCCCTAGCCCTAGGATCTTTATTTTTTCCCTCTCCTGGAATTTATATGATATCTTATCGTGTCTACCATACCCATAATCAAAATAGGTGTGACGAGGGTCCACTTCATGACACCAACGATAGCCTTGCTTGCCAGCCCTCATCCTCTTCAACTTCATAGGGTCATCTTTCTCTTTTTCTTTACTGGAACACGTGCAGACCAGTCCCTTAGCCAATTGCTTAGTTTTGTCGAGACAGATGCATTCATCGTCGTCCACTTTCGTGTCGCATATGCATGGCGCAGAGCAATCACAAGCGGCGAAACATTTACATTTGCCGGGATCGTTACCACAAGCGCAAAGCTGGGGAGGGAAACACGTACAGTCATCAGGTGATTTTGCATCACACTTGCATTCTAAAGGGACAGGACAGCTGCAAATTGATTTGGACTCGTCGCTTTTGCAAATTGGTTCCTCATCGTCAGTTGGCTCGCAAACGCATGTTTTTTGAACTCCGCAGACGCATGCATTTTCAGTACAAATACATGATTTTCCTTTGAGACATTTACACACTGGTTTAGGATCTGGCTTTTGACACAAGCAAGGCTCTTGCTCAATTTCACCTTCCACTTTTTCTGTTGTTTCGCTCTCTATTTCTTCAAGGCCAATTTCTTCACTGCCTTCTTCCACAGTTTCGATCATAGACTTAACTCGGTCATCAACTTCGAGTTTGGGCTTATGTTTACAAGTGCAAACAGGTGAGGGGAACTTTTTACGAGGGTGACAAATGCAAGGCTTATCCACCTGCCCACAAGTACACTTTGCTCGTATTTTACCGTCAGGGTGGCATAAGCAAACATCGCTTCCTTTACAAGTGCAAATAGGCTGTGGTTTGCCATCATGACAAATACAAATATTTTCAGCTTTTGGACAGACACAATCGGCTGTTGTTTTGGCTCCACATTGGCAGGGCAATTTTATGTGACAAACGCATTGCCCTTTTTTGTCCTTATCGCATGTACATGGCGGTGGACCTTTCGCATCTGGATTTATCTGTGGCAAGCCATCAACAATCATTATACTCGCTTTGCTGTCTCGTGGTGGTGGTGGCTTAGTGCAGTCTGGGAAGAAGTAAAAGTGAAAATCATCATCTTCTTCTTGATGTTGTTCATCTGCTGCCTCTTCTTCCACTCGATCCTTTATTTCCAACATAGTATCATCTTTTATCTCGTCTGAGGTAGAACTTTCGGTTGTATCGTGGCAAGACCATTCCGAATCTGACGACTCTTCTCCGATGTCCCCCTCATAGTGACCGCAACTAATAATGAGAGTTTCTCCAAAGCATATCTCTTTCTTTAACTCATTGTCTACGAAGAGTTAAGGGAATTTAGTATTTTTTTGTACAATTTACCTAATATTATTTTTAATGGATAATCATGAAACATGCTGTACTACACAACATGGTCCATAGTTCCAGCCGTGGTTCCAGCTACCTACCCATTTTCGGTCATGTCGTCTCGTTCTATGATGAGAGCGAAAGAAAAAACGGAAATAGGTTGTCGGAACTGTGGCCTACTGCACTTAATTATGTAACCCTAAACCACGAACAAAAAAACTTATTTTATAAGTTTAACAGGGCAATGTTAATAAAAAAAAATATAAATATTCAGAGAATCGGAGAATCAGATCAATGGTTGGATCTTTTGGGGAAAAAAGTTCGGAAAAGACTCCTCATCAACAGCCCTTTACAGTCCACTGCTGGACTATGAGCCTCCTCCACTATAGTGAAGGGTTTTGCCATAATCTCCACGCTTGGCAGGCGGGTTGGAGATCGCAGTATAAAAGATTGATGTTTTTCAGAGAGCGCTGCTGCGCATTCTCTGTTTGATGTGTAGTCCCTAAGTCGCCTCTTACGACACCCGCGGGAAGAGTAGGGGTTGGTGACAAATGTATTCTACTCTGCCGTCACCACACGGCTAAGACTCCTAGCAAACAAAAATAACGTAAACTACTGGACGACCAATCTAAAGTGGGCTGGAAAATTTCGAAGACTTGTGGCACAAAGAGAAACCTCGCGCAACATGCGATACTTACTCTGATGTTTTCATACTCTCATCACCTAACGGATTTTAATACGAAATAATAATTAATAAGGTAGGTACTTACCTATTTCAAAAGGAAGCTGCTGAGATAAATCTATCAGTGAAATGTGTGCACTAAAAGACATTGTGGCAATAATATTTTCTCAATCAATATTTTTATGAATTTGTTGAATTTTCGATTTTTTTTTATGGAAAAATAAGACACAGCCTGCCATGACTAAAACAGCCAAAAACGTTAAAAACTATTTTCAAATCTTTATAAATTCTGTCTATTACATAAAACGGAACGTTAAAACGTTTCATTACACGAAATATTAACAGCTAAGATGTGTACAACACATAATGAACTGTATAATATTGATTTTTACTAAAAATGTAGTTGTCAAATAGATACAATATCTATTTTTCATATTATTCAATAAAAATAACCTTTGTTTCCTCCTCAATCATAAGATAAAATGCATTTCTTAAAAGAGTGTAAAACAAGTGCGTAGAACGTCTCTCTAATGTCATTCAACGACCGAACGATCGACTTGACAGATGATGTGGCCCAACGTCTTGTGAATATTCTAATAATTTTAATTTAATAGAATGCAAAATGCTTATATTTAAATTTATTTCTGTTTCTTTATTAATATCCATGTACCAATGCCGAGTACCAGACAAAGTTTATTGTGTCAATGAAAAATGTTCAGGTGAGTTAGATTTCTTGTGTGACAATCTGTTTTCTTACTGTAACTTTCTACCCGTATGTTTCTTGTTATTTCAGACCCTATATCGAAAGCGAGGACGCTATTGTCTTACACAAGTGCCGATCCAGACCTTATATCTTTTCGTGGGAACGCCGAGGCCGTGGTGTACATGAAATCAGCTGGGTCTAACCCAGATTTGTGGTATGCTACTATCAACGGGAAAACGGGCTTTGTAAACTCCCAGTTTCTAAGAGAACATAAAGTAATACAAAAAACTGCTCAACTGAGGGTATTTCCTTTAGAATATAGGAGGAATACTCAGCCTGATCTACAGCCTAATAAAGTGCAACAAGCACATGAAGTTATAGAAGGAACAACAATTTTTACTACTGAATCTGGGGATGCAACTACCCAAGCGGAGAGTTTCACTGAGCCCCCTGCTCCTTCCAACAGTGATAATGTTACTCCATCCCTTTCTGATTCAGTGCAGGAAACTCCGAACAGTGATAAAATAGAAGAAAATGTAGCTAGAGAAGAGTCCAATGCTAGTGGTGAACTTAATGAGAATATCCCCAGTAATCTGCCAAGTGAACCTCAAGAAACAACACAGTTGCAAAATGATGAAAGTAGTGTTAGTTCAACTGAAGCTAGTGTACAAAATCCTCCAGAAAATGAAGTGCCTCAAGAAAGTAATAGTGAGAAAGAACCACAGGAACCGCAGCCACCACAAGTGCCCAATGAAGAACCATCCCCTACTGAAGTTTCGGAGACTATTGCCAATGGTGAGGACTCCAGCAGTCAAAACGTAGAAGCAACTGAGAAACAAGATGTCCAAGAAGAAATTAAATCTGGCAATGAAAATATTGCAGAACAAAACACGCCAAACCCCACTGACACTGCCACAGAAATCAATCAACTTGCTCCGGAAACAACAACCGAGACTAAAACTGTGCCTGAAACAAGTGAGACTACAATTAATAATGTGATTGTTGCCAATCCTGACCTCCCAGAAGTCATTGAAACTAAAGATGAAAATAGTTTATTTGGTAGTTTCTTCGGCCAAGAAAACACTGACAATTTAAATGGGGTCAGTTCCACACCTTCTCCTGTTGTAGAAGAAACTCCGTCTACAACGAAAACTGATAATGTAAACACTGTCCAGACCACACCTCCTCCGTTACAACAAGAAACTCCACCGAGCCCTGCGGTTATACCACCTAGTTTTCCAGATATGGCCAACAATATCTACAATTATCCACCTATTCTAGCTCCCCCTTCAGAAGTAAATGAAATACCAACTAACAATAATAATATTAATAGTCAGTCAGCAAGTGTTCCAGAAAGCAGTGTGTATACATACACCACACAGTCACCAGTAGAAAAACCAAGCACTAATATTATCAACAGTTATACCACCAGTGAACCTGATGTTTCTACTGAAATTCCATACAGTGAACCGGCTGTAAATATTGCCGACAACCCCTCACAAAGTCAGTCTTCATCTGAACATACTGAAGAGGCTTCTGAACCACCACCGCCTGATTACAGCACAATGTCTACTGATGCTTTAATCGATGATATATTTACTTCAACCACTGAAAGTCCAACACCTGCACAAGAAAATGGGGAAGGCATTTTATCAAACATTTACACAACTATATCAGACCTCTGGCCAAGTAGCACAGAGGCACCAGCCACAGAAAGTTTATTTAATACTGAATACAGTTCTGTGAGTGAAAAGAAGGTTGATGAAGGCTTTTCATTCGTCAATTTTATAATGAGCGGCATAATGGGATCAAAACCTGAATCACATGCAGTTTTTATGTCTGGAGGTGAGTTTTCAAAACATTTTAGCTCTTTATACCTTGTCTAATTTTAATAAGTTTACATTATTATAACCCCTGTCCAGTCCATGAATGGCTATTATTTAATTCTAGCTTGCATATCGAATTAAAATTGATTATCAAGAGTAAGATTTCTTATCTCAATAGATAAAAGAGAAGTGTTTGTTAGTAACATTATTTACTGTTTTAAACAAATTTTTAGCTTCTGATTTTTATGTTTGGACAATTCTGGTGAAAAATAAATTATTTTATCAACAAAATTAATTTGATATCACCAATAGAACTGACAGTATTAGTTAGTCACATAAAAATATGTACATACATCTGATCTATAAATAGGGTATTTACCCTAAATTGGAAATTAAACTTACTGATTTCTAACTAATGCTAATATTGATTTTAGACACATTAAGTTGAATAAACAACTATTCCAGCTATTCTTAATGTTACAATCATTGTAATTTTCCATGCTGATAACTGACATTCTGAGTTTCTGGCTTTTAAAATAACATTGTGAATGAACTGGAAATGAAAGAAGCCACATCTTATAACATTCCTGAATAATTACAGTTACTCAAAGACATAGAGAACCAATTGCTTCATATTACTATAATATTTTAATTTTAACGTACAATTGTTAATCAATTATGAACCTATCCATTGTTTAAGTCTTGAACCTTATACTAACAAGAAACACTTGAATCAATAATAATAAAAAAAATTGATTTAGTATATGGTTTTTTTTTTGTTATTCCCACAATACTTACAATAATCCTGTAATAATAAAAAAAAATACTAGTACAAGTATGACTGAATTTCATGAAGATATTATATCAAGTCTTTTCTCCTTGTTTAGGTGAGTCCTGCTTCTCCGAAGACTACTGCGATGGCACGTCCAACACCGGCAACAGACTGCTTACGTTCCTTTTAACAACAGCTACTTCCGTGCTGCTCTTCACCCTAGGCTACTACTACATAGACAACAAGAGGCAAGATGGGAAACTCATTGGCACCATCAATTCCCTGCAAAGGGATTTACTTTTTACCAGTAAGGTAAGTTGTTCTAGTCAATTAAGTAATTTGTTTCAAAATTCATTATTTATGAGTATGAAATGGTCGTAATCCTCACCATAATGAAACTGTGTTAAAGATTATAAAGTTATTGTTTATTATTAATCTCATGTCTCCATCTTGAGATACTGTATCCTGTTTGTTGTCTGTTATTTATCCTGTTTTTTATGTTTTATTTATCCTCCTTTTATTAATGTAAAAGTAGCCTATGTTCTTTTGCAAGTTTCACTTTATCTCTATACCAATATTATAAATTAATCAAAATGTTACATAATTTTTGTGGAAAAAGGTAAAAAACAGACAGACTCATATAATATAAATCACTGTGGATTGTATTCCTAAACAGGAGTGTGAGATCCTTAAAGAGGAGCTTGCAACTACTAAAAGCAAGCTGGCCGGCATCGAGGACAGTTCCTTCGGGAAGGACGACATGGTGCAATCTCTAAGGGAAGAGATCGACGAGCTGAAGGCACAGAACGAGAGGCTGCGTAGATCGTTGGACGACAACGAGAAACTGCTTAGAGTCTCCGAGAATACGGCCGGCGAGCTGCAGAATACCCTTGGGGAGGTCGAGAATACTCTCAGTGAGCTCTTGGGTGAGAGAGCTAACTCTGAAGAGCAGATTGCTGAATTGAACGGTATGGGTCTTTACTTTTAACGACGTATTTTCTCGCGGCTCAGTTTTAATTTTGCGTTAATCGTGAGATATACGTTAAATTGTATGGTCCAAAGAGCAATATTAATCAGCATGATATACAAATAATTATATAATTATGCAAAGATATTATCTAAGGTATCTGAAAATAAACAAAGATTAATATCTAATGTGACCATTTCTATAAACGTTAAAATAAGCATTCTTATGTTAGACATAGGTAGGTACTTTGTTTTATAATAAGTAGTGAAGTATATCGTTCTTTAACACACTCGTGTGTAGGCAACGGGAAATTAGTTGATCCCGGCCGCCGTCTGCTCAGCTAATCAGCTTATTATAAATGGCTTCTATGATGTGCGGGATTTCTCTAACAAAATAAATGATGTGAATCACCACTTAATCTTATTTAATCGGATCAATACAGGCTTATAGATAGGAATAATGAACCTATTTATGTAATTTTATCAGTGTGATATAATATTTGTTTGGCATTTACAGGTAAAGTGCAGGCCTTTGAAGAGGAGTTGATTTCAGTCAGTAGAGAGAGAGATAACTATCAGCTCAAGTATGTGTCGGCGGAGACAGCGCTAGAGGAAGCGAAGAAACAAAACGTTAAGCTGGAAGAACTAACACAAAAGTTATCAGAGTCTAACAATACGATTGAATTGCAAAAGCACGAAATCACTGCTCTCAAAGTAAGTAGTTCGCAAACTGTTTAATTTACGATCATGATAACTGTTTCTTCAATTTGTTGAAAACCTTAATTTTCGAGACATACTTTGTACAATAATGGAATAAAATACTCTTTAACAAGAGAGTCCATATACAACGAATATTATTTTTTATTTCAGGAGGCATTAAAAGACGTGAAAAATGGACTTTCCCCAAATATGGACGTGTCGTCGCTAATAGACCACACCGAAATCAAAGCTAAACTAGCCAAAGCGTTGGAAGAGAAGCAGTCATTTGAAAAGAAATTTGAGGTATGTATTCATTTGTCTTTTGTTATAAAGAATACATTAAAATCGGCAAGAAAATTGCATTTTTTTTCAGCAATTTTTTTGGTCAATATGTTACCAGCATATTTTGTGTTCTTACCTAATTATCTTCTTATTATTTTTGTCATTATACTTTGAACTTTAATGATGACTAATCATATTTGACAACAAAATATTTGTACAAGATAAATTATTGTTGCCTATCCTGTTCGATCAAAGTTCACCTTTTCTTCTGCTTAGACAAACAAAAAGTATCCAAACAATATAATTTTATAATTAAATCGTTGACTGTCGAGACACTACACACAATAAAAATGTAATTGTTCGAAGCTCACCGGTGAGCCGCGTGGCGTCCAACGTTCATAGACAATGGTTTATCCTCAACTTGTATGGCATGGTTCTTTCAGGTGGAATACAAAGAAAGGAAGCGGCTGAGTGACGAGCTAAGTGTAACTCAAGAATCGCTCCAAACAACCAGCCAGCAGGCAACCGAGGCGTTGACGAGGCTGGAAGTGCTTGGGAAATACTTCCAGGAAAGAGAAACTGAACTTATGAAGTGAGTAAACAGTTCATGCCAATTTGTAGTCATCTCTTTCTTTCTTTCCGTGTCTGTAGTGTGGTCAGCGATGTAGTACACATACCTTTTAAACCGAGACCGACAGTTCCAGAATTTCTTTTTTTTTTGTTAAGTTGCATGAACCTTTCATATTGTTTTGTACAGATTATGTTAAACAACTCAATATTCCATAGTATTAATTGTATGTTATGTTACAGAGAGTTGAGCACCAAAGAATCCCTTTGGCTAAGCAAGCAGGGTGAATCTGCGAGCACCGTAGAGAAAATTGAACTTCTACAGCAGGAGGTTCAAAGGCATAAGTGAGTATGATCATTTAATGTCATTTATGTATATTATTTGACTGGCTGACTAAAAACACNGTTTTATTACTCACATAAGTCAATTGTGTTACAACTTCAACAAAAGAACAGATAAACCAAAAATCGTATTTTAACACACACAAAATAAGCCAAATCAAAAAAAATTTTTCTCGAAAGCTGTTGAAGATAGACCACGGGTTTCTTTTAAGAATTTACTTAGATTTACTTGTTAAATCATGTCATCTATTCACCAAAAAATGTCCGCTTCCAAGTGATTTTAAAAGACTGTGCAATGGTATGGTATCAATAATAGGTTACAGAATAAACTGGATCTAACCAAAAATTCAATGTTTCCTTCTTCCATACATTTAGTACTACCCTTCTGCTCTCTGAGTACTACCACAGTCATGACACTCATCTCTTGACAATATTATAGCAAGTAAAGCCTAAAACCAATGTTTTTCATTAATAATTTAAAATAAGAATACAATTTACGAGTTTATTTTAAGTATTTATTATTAAATTAAAAAAATTACACTTCTAATATTGTGTGTCTGGCATACATTTAGTATGGAAGCTGGAAACATTGAATTTTCAGATAGATCCAGTTTATTCTGTAACTTATTATTGGTACCGTTTGAAAGAGCTCATTAAGCACTTTCAGGATCAGTAACCAGTTTTTTAATATCTTGTATAGTTAAGAAATAATCGAGTGAGATCACTTAACGTTTCCACCCTGTATAGTTGTTGCCCATTTTTGCCACTTGACGTGGCAGAATCGTGGGACTTCACGGTATTTAAATAAAAATTAAAGTGGTTGCGTTTAGAAACGCCACAAATATTTGAGTCTTTGGAAACAAGTTCGTTATTATACTTGTATATTAAAATATAATTTTGTTTTACCTAGCTTTTTCTTATTAATAAAATATAGGTTATTAAGTACTCAATACAGAAATCAGCCGGCTCCTAGTCTAAAATTCTTATAATCGAAATTAAATGATTTAAACTACAAATAAAAATGATTCAAACAGTACTAGTTTTTAGGTTCAAATTCGACTGCTCTAGTGGACGCACGGAACGGCAACGTCGCAGTCGACCCATATTATTTGAATTATTTGGCGGGAAAATAGTTTTTGGCTTTTAATTCTGAAACTAAGAGGCCTAGAGATTTGAAATTATGTCTCGTGTGTACTTCAATTATAACGAATTATTTGATCTTTAAAACGCAACTCTAACTTATACGGTTTTAATAATCCACCGTGTGTTACGTGTCACCAGCTTACACATACGTATCGGTTCGTAGTTCGAAAACGGTTCGAAATAAAGCTTTGAAAGAATTGAAGTCGGGTTTTTTTATTCGACTTTAATTTATGAGATATAAAACATTGATGTAGCTTAAATATTTACGAAGATACAGATGTGTAAGCTGGAGACACGGTACTCCAGCTCGCACATAGTTTTTTGATCGTGGTTTTAACAGTATTTGAGCTAAAGTCTTGAAAAGTGGAAAGCCTACTATTTGGATTCGACTGTAATTTTTGAGGTATAATACATTATCGTAGCATAAATATTTACGAAGATACAGATGTGTCAGCTGGAGACACGTGTCCTCAGCTTACACATAGAAAACAACTCATAGTTATGAAGTTCTAATGGCTCTAATTGAATGACTGAGAGGTTTGATGACTCTAATTAGGCTTTTATTGATGGTATACTTGGAATTGCTCTAGGGCCAATGAGGAAGTTGGAGACATTCTCTTCAATCTGTTATCTTATAAATAGGATAAATTGGTAAATGAGGGTTCTAGTGTGCTAGTTGAGACTACACTCAATACAAGAGAAAAGGCATACATTAAAATAAATTTTTATTTAGCTTGATCTAATAAACTTCAAAATAATAATAATATACAGGCAGGACATGCTTAATCTATCTTATCAGCTTTGATCTTCCAGGCTCCTATTGTATATTTAAGCCAAATGAGGCCGAGGTCACATCCCATCTGTATCCAAGAGAGGACAGGGGTAACCTTGGAGCCTTCGATCTCTGTCCATCTCACAGGAATCTCAGTTATTGGAATGTTAAGTTGTTGTGCTATGTACAGTAATTCTACATCAAATGCCCTGTAATCAAATATTATTATTTATCATATTTCCAATATAAGTAAAGAAATAAATAAAAATAAAGTAGGTGGTCACTGGGAACTATGATGACAATCAACAATGATTGACCTGCACTGAATGTACAGTTAGCTGGTAGAGAGTGCTACAAGGCTTTAAGAAAATTTTTATGCAATAATTACCATCTATTCACATGTAAGCTCTTGAAACAAGTTTGTGCAGATTTTCTAGTGAACAGTTTAAAACCACATTGTGTGTCTTTGATGCCCTTTACAGTGAACAACCACACCAGGAAATGGAAGCCATACATCAGTATATTCCTGGAAAAAATTAAAAATCATTAAATATATTTTATCTTACGATACCTAGATTAATTAAAAACATTATTGATAAGCTACCTAAAAACACTTCTTGTGGCTAAAGATTCTTCTTCCAAATGAGCTCTAGAGCCAATGACAATAGAGTGGGCTTTACTGATTTCTTCAGGCTGTGTGATTACATCATATTTTAGTGTTCCTTGTATGGCTACTTCCAGTTTTTTCAAATCCTCAAATTTGGATGCACCATCTGCATCAGCAAACAATATTAATGAGCCTCTGGAGCTCTCAATTCCCTGAAAATATACAAATTAATGAATAAAACATATTGCCTTGTGGATAATTTAAATACTCACAGCTTGATATCCACTCACCAAGCGCACAGCACCACCCTTGCCTCTATTCTTTACCAGTTCAAGACATCTGACTTTATCACTGCCATACTTCAGGGCATAGTTTCCAGCCACTTTGACAGTCTTATCTTTGCTCCCATCACTCACTACTATGATTTCATACTTGTACGAAGGATACTCTGTCAGTCTTTTCTCCAAAAATTGTAATGCCTCATCTAACATTGGTGGCACTGAAATAAAGAACCTCATTACAATTCATGCCAGCTTAGGATAAAGAAAAATAAGTCTTGTCCAACTTACACCTCTCTTCTTCATTGTATGCCGGGACCACAACACTAAGATTGACACTCTGAGGTTCCTCAATACTCGGGAACTTTACTTTGGTCTTGGATTTCGGATCTTCATAGTATTCTTCTTCTTTGAACCGCTCGACAACTGGGTATGGATTTGTTACAACATAGATGATGACACAACTCTGTAAACAAATGGTACAGTCTGTAAGTTCTCACTTATGAATAATATTATTAATACAGAACTAACGTGTAGATTTTTCAGGCTGACGTGTATTTCAGGCTATAGCGAGCGGGTGTCGTGTCTTTTGTTGTGTAGGTGTGTCCAACAAATACTCACAATAAATAATAATATCAGACCGAAAACAATACCGTAGAAGATCAAAGACCAAATAACTGAGATGATATCCATTTTAGTTACACACTAGTCACATTTCTATTGGAAATACTGAAATTATTTATTCAGTTCCGGCAAAATATATTTCGTTCGACGTCGTCGTCAACAACAAACTGTCAAAGTCATTGTCTGTCATTAATGTCATTTGTCTGTCAGTAATTTTTTTTTAGATTTACATCTTTGGGTTCGTACACTATGCAGAGCCCCGATTACGGTAACTTTTAATAACGTCTACGATCCAGACGCGTTTCTGATTCTGCGATACGATTGGTCAAAACAGCTGACGTACGCTGTTGAACGACCAATCGTATCGCAGAATCGAGAAGCGTGTCTGGATTGTTCACGTTAAAAATTACCGTAATCGGGGCTCAGGAAATTGGCCAAGATGCATCAAAGTGAACACATACCCATCAAGAAGAAACTTGTCAAGTACCTGTTCACATTGATGCGGCGAACTATATTAGCGCATAGTGTACTTTCAGCAATAAGCCCCAATATTGCCAGTGCTCAAAAACGTTATTACCCAAAAACTGTAAATTGAGAAAATATAACTCCCAACCAACATAAAGCGGTTAATTTAAGCATCTGAAGGCCGCCTAACTTTTCACTCTTAGAATGCTGTGCCTGACAGATAAAACCATACCACCTCTGTAATATTATGGATGCAATAAATAATTGAGTATTGTTGAAACTTAAGTTTTACTCACGTAACTTACGATGTACACTTTTTGAAATATTGTAAGTCGCATGTAATTTCTTACTACTTGCGAATACAGCCGTAAGTTACGTCACGAAAGCAACTTACAAGCATAAAAGGATGAGGATGGATGCAACGCTGCTTCACTTGCATCTCAGCAAAACGATTTGGCCCACTATAGTACACATTACATCGTAATATCACGTAATACGTTTAATGAAACCATTACAACAGGTACATAAAGTTTATTACAAATATTTCAAATTCAGTCAGATTTATACAATTGTTTAAGGTGAGAAGAATAATCAATAATTACAATTTTAAATCTAAAATCTCTCTATATTAAATGCAATAGTAATGGCAACTGATGAAAATTTATCACAATTTTACACTGTGTACAAAACATAATATAAAGTGATAAATATTTTAGGTAATTTACCTAATTTTAAAATACATGATTTAGTTAATATTTAACTGTTCACAAGCAGACAAAATAGATATAACAACAACTAATGCGTTTCGATTAAACTGGTTAATGTATAAATTCCCAAGTAATATTTTTTATGATTTGCAAAAAGATATCAATCTTAATTTTATTTCTTTACAAAGTTTTGGGCCATTAGCCATTATATTTCAATAATAGTAGGTAATTCAACAACTAAATTAAGAGTTTTTACAATTTAGTTTTAGGTAAAAAATATGATCTAGGTAAAAATAGCTGAAAAGATAAAAATAAATAAAATGCTAAAAATACTGATCAATTTTGAGTGCTGTTACTCCCTTCGTCAACAAATATATATTTTTTTATATTCAACAATGTGTCCGATTGTGCGTTTTTATGTTATTAAGCTCGGAATACCTGTGTGTAACAAAATTAACACCAGTTTAAGAGAAGAGGCTATATTTGGTAGAATGACCAGTGCCGGATTAAGCCAGCGCGGGGCCTGTAGCAAATTTCTATCAAGGGGTCCTTGGTTTGCTTTAGGTTCTCAAGTTTAGGGTATTAAATGAAACAAAACTGTTACAAATGAACTTTTCTTGATTTAGAGATAACACTTTCAATCAGTGCCGTAACTAGGGCGGTGCCAGCGGTGCACCTGTGCCTGGCACAGGGCGCAGACCCTGGAGGGGCGCAGAAATGACCAGACCAGTATCTAGTTTTGTTTCATGCACGCTCTGCACCCCCCCCCGTAGAAGGTTACTTTTTTTTATATTTCTCGCACCGGGCGCATAAAAGGCTAGTTACGGCACTGCTCACGGACCAGGCTTTAGCTGCCACGACATTCCTTATAGGCGACACGTCTCACAAACACCATCCCCTAACTGTAACTTCATTCTCTAAACTCCATCCCCAACTGCTGTCACGCCTAGAAACTACACTACTAACTGTGACGTCACGCCTCGCCGAACATCGCGCTTTCCCTCGAGTGTTGTGTCTCCTGGCTACAGGCCGCGTGCGGTTGACGTAGCGCGGGACTGTCGCTTGGCACTCGTAAATACAGTGGCGATAATCCTAGGGGCCGAAATACCTGCCATACTTCTGTGCGCCACGCTAATACCTTTCGCTATCCACCACATCACTTACAGGCGCCACCCTTTATTTGCCATGTCACTCCTAGACGCCTCCTGTGACGTCACTACACTCGTTATACCACGTATCACGTGTATAGTACAGGCAAAGTGCATTTACAAAAGTAGGTACAGTTATTATGTACAGTCACGGAATGAAAAGGTTCGTCAGTTTTCAAATTGATTCCTTCAACGAATCGCAAGCACATATTACCTTTTGAAACTATGTTACAAAATAATCTCGAGTTAGAGAAAATAATCTTTAACTGTTGCTCAGTAAAGTTCAAAATTATTCAGATCGAAGTTGTTTGACGATTTATCTTGTCAAGAAGATTATTATGATTGATAAACTAAAACCTTCTTGTTGGTTCAACCTGCCATTATTATTTCTATAAAAAAAACTACATTTTGTAACATTGCACTGATGGGATAGAAAAATAAACAAGCAAAACCTTATTCGTTAGCAAACGTCATATTTATTTAAATGTTAGCAGCACTGTTTCTTGCACTGTAATGTTGGTAGGTTTGACTCTTACAGTATCTAGTGCAAGCGAAAACCGACACTAAGGTGACGAACCTTTTCATTCTGCGACTGTACATTCCTACAATTCAACATCCAATCCTAACCAGAATCATTCCAGTTTGATCGTGCCATAAAACACATACTCAAAAATAAATGTGTTTTCATGTAACCAAGTCTCGAATAAAATATAGATCTTGTTCCTACATCACCATTTTTGTAAGAAGTCTCGAATGAAATTATTTGTACATATTTATCATGTAATATTACTTTAAGTATTTTGTTTACAGCTATGATTTAAATGTTATGGAATATTTAGTTGATAGCTGATAAAAATCAGTGTAATTGATAACATTTTATGTGCAAATCTATGTAACAAATAAAATAAGTTTTATTTTAAAATCATGATTGTTGTTTGTTAGATATTTTAGTTGTCATCAGATATAGTCATAAATTTTACTAAAATTACTATTGTTAATCATTTTATATAAGGAAAAATAAAAGTTTTATATGTTCTTTGGTGTTTTATTTTTGTTGTAAATATCGAAAATCTCCATCAATCTATAGATTATCACAGAAAATAGGATCACTGTAAAATTGTCTAGCTATAGCTTACTACCTATTAACACTTTCGTTTTAAAATATCAGGTGCCATTTTCAAGAAAATATATTTCCACCTGATTGTACAATCAGTACTTATTACAAAAAAACTTTCATATTTCAAGACTGCTCTTTTCTTAACTTTTCCTTATCTTGGCTGCTTTTCTTATCTTTCCCTATAGTGAATACATCTTCAAAGGCTTTCAGGAGTATGCCAAACAAATCCTCACTTTCCACTATTACTGTCTTGTATTCCACTTTATTCTCTGCTTCTACTGGTTTCATTGAATGTGGTCCATTCTTCAAAATATCATCAAGTATTTTGTCTATTTCTACATAAAACTTCTGCCTGTTTATTAAAGGTACTATTAAGTTGTACTTATTAATTTTGCTATTTAA